AAAAAAAAAAAAAAAAATCAGTTCAACCTACGGCAATTTTTTCTAATTTCTCCCTGAGACCCAACAAGAGGCCTAATGCTCCCCAATTTCACCATAGAACTCGAAAACTGGTGGAAAAACAGAGCCTCGTCCTCTGCAAACATCCTCACAAGCTCTGCGGTTTTACCCGTGAGCAAAACCTGATCCGAGCTGAGAAGCCCTTTGCCCCACAACAAGAGCTTGAAGTAGCTGTTGTCGAATTTCACTGGGGACGTGAAATCGAGGGGCGATATGTTGTTATCGCCAACGATTTTCGGGCACATGGTTTTCAGACCGTTGTAGTAGTTTTTCTCGAGGGTGATGTCCCCGTTTTGGTTGTACAGTCTCTGCCTAAATGTCACACATCTCGCCATTCCTATCGTGTGTCCTCCTTCACGCCGCATGCAAAATCGCAACATAAATTTACAAATGTATAAAGCTACTCTACCGTTTTAAATCATTTTGGTAAAAAAAAAAAATGGTGAATATAATTTTTTTACCCGAAAGAACAACAAGATCTTGTTCGTCAAGGCCTTGGCGCTCGAACATGTTGGTGAGTGTTTGGATGGTGGAATTTGGGGCCGGAATATCAGTGTTTGATTTGCTGAGGCTTGCTGTTCTTGAGTCCCTTCTCCCTAGTGGAACCTCCCAATGAGGTCCTCCACTCTATGACACAGCATTACGCATATGTAAATATATTGGTCACATTATTTAATATTTACCTAATTCCATCACTCAAATATACGAAAATCGGATAATCGGGTTTTTCTTATTTGATTATGGGAGTTTAGGAAAGAGATGATTACATACAAGTACAATGGAGTCCCTCGCTGCAAGAGAAAGAATGTCGGCACATGAAACAGTGTGTGGGCAAACTTGTTCGAGTTTGGCTTTGATCTCATCGATAACCTCGAATCCCCTCAGCGAGTTTTTGTTGGGTCCCGCATTCTTCTCGCTCACTATATTCGTGGTTTCGTCTAGAAGTACAGATGCATCACACCCCTACAGTTACACGTAAAGTATGACATTTCATAGCATCAATATGCATTTTTATTATTTATTTATTTTATTTTTTATAAAAGAATAACGGGTCGACCTGTTTAACAGGTAAGTACCTGGACAAAGCAGTCGTGAAAGTGGAGCCTGAGCAAGGAGGCAGCCATTCTAGGATCTTCAGCAATGGCGTTTTCCAACACTGACATTATAATCTCATTAGCCTGAGGGCATGAATACAGGTAGAAATCAGGGGTGAGGACCGAATAACCACCGCCAGCCTGGCCCGAACCCGGAAAGGCTTTCGAAAAAGAGCAACACATGAAAGCTACTACCATGATGAGGCTGTAAATGAGCTTAACAGAAGCCATTTTTTTATTCCTTTGTAATGCTCAAGAAGTGCTAATGTTTGCAATTTTCGTTTTTGGATTATTGTTTGTTGTTATATGAATTTTTTTATTCAGCGTTGCAGGATTTATATTGAGCTCGTTAGGAGGGACGATCAACTGCTCTACTATGTAATGTACCAAATCCTCTCGTGACCGATACAAAATCTGCCTATTCATGGGACATTTGATTGTGTGACCTTGTCAACATGATGACATATGGAAGTTCAATTCTGAAGTAAGGGGAGAAAGTGTTTCTGGTTTTAATTCAACTGCTCCATTTGCAATATGTCACCCATGTTGTTTTATTAAGCAGTCTTCGGGCTGAGGAAATGGATGCAAACACTGTTGTATGACTTTACATGACTTTGCTCGTCTTGGTGGGCGACTCACAAAGATCTCTCATGTATGGTGATTAAACATCCCAAGAGAAGCTGTTTATTATTTATAGGATACTAGTACAACGCCCGTGTATACACGGGTGCTTGCTAATTTTTTTCTTAAAATCTAAAATTAATGAGAAAAAATAGGTGAAAATTTAAATATCTTTTATAAAAATATATA